GGTGGGGGCGGGGGAGGAAAGGGGGAGCCAACAAGGGCGCTCGGGTCGGGGGGGGCACCCGGCAGGTGGCTGCGGTCTCTGGCCCCTGCACAAGCTTCTCCTCCCCTGGGACGGAGGATCTCGATCCCAGCTGAGTCTTAAAAACAAAAGTATTCTCCCGCACTCAAGGCAGGAGAGACGCCAGGACCAAGAACCCAAGTGCAATTTTGCCTCCAAGCTTTTCGAGGCCCCTCTTGGCTTCCCCCGCCACCGGCATCTCGGGCCACCTCTTACCTTTCCACTGCCCTGCTGGCCAGCCCGCAGCACCCGAACACTGATTGCTTAAAATCAATGAGTTGACAAACAAGTCTCACTCCACCTGCCAACTCACCAGGCTGCTAAAGCTACGCTACCTGCTTGAACCAAACCCTCCCCCCTCCCCGCTGCGCCCAGATCTCCCGCCCCCCAGGAAGGCTCCCGACTCCCCCTGGAGCTCCCACCTCCTATCTTTTAGCCAAAATCCCTCCCAAAGGCATGTCTGCTGGGCAGCGGTGCGACGCCCCCTACCCACGCCCTCGGGACTCAGAAGCCCCTGCTCAGGACTCCAGAGACCTGTCCGCCTAGAGAGCGCGGGCGGCCGAGTTTCCACGGTCGCCACCAGGGCCCTTGGAGGACTCCCAAGGACCCCAAACCATCCCTCAGCGCAGGCGAGTATGCGAGGCCAGGGCACTCACCCCGAGGGCTAGGGCAGGAGGCGGCGCAGCAGGAGGTAGCGGCTGCCGGGCCTCTCACCCTGTCCTCCTGGCTGTTTTCTTCGCCCCTACTTTTCCTACTACATCGGGGGCCAGTGCAGGTCCCTTAAGCTCCACAGCTCTCCGAGGGCACCACACTGTCCTCGCCAGTAGATCTTGGCGCTCTGAGCAATGGGGTGCAGGACTCCCGGGTTTTTTTTGGCACGGTTCCCAGCTTCCAGGCTACAGCGGTGCTTCTGGACGAGGTTGGGCTGCAGGTCAGACTTTCAGGTTTAAACACTAGCACTGCTACAGCGTTTCCTCTCCCTCACGGTGGAAAGCTTTGCCTCTTCCTTCCTAGGTCCCCCAGTCGCCGTCCATGCTTTGGTGGCCCGGGCGGAGGACTCGAGGCGCAAGCAGGGGCGGCAGGAATGAGGTGAGTGTGCTGGTGCGTGTGATCAGCTGCAGAGCCGCGCTAGCCCCGCCTGTCCCTGCCTTCCTTCGCTGCTCTACCAGCCTGAATTGCACCTCCGCGCCTCAGTTGAGCCTGCAGTGTCTGGCAGCTCTGGAAAAGCGAGCCCCTCCAATGAGGAGCGGCTCTAAATCTGCTCCCAAAAGCCAGCCACCCCCCCCCGCATCAGTCACAAAGCCCCCAACACGCAGCAAATGCTTCTCTCAGAAAGAAGAGAAGTACAATATGTCTCTATAGCCAGGGCTCTCATTTAAGCGGGTGCTGGGAATTGGGAGCGCATCATAACAGAAACCCCAACTAGCTCCTACATTGACATATTCAAAACTCAAAGTTGCCCAAAGCAAAGGGGCCTGAGGATGAGAATGGAAAGGAGGGGAGACACTAAAAGGATAGCTCCCAATCCTTTCTGAAAATGGTTCTATTAAAAAGGTTTAGAATATCTAGAGTTAAAGTGTGGCTGTAATTGAAGGAAGAAGGCTGGATATTAATGGCCCCAGCCTGGCAGTTGCTTAATGGAGGGGCAAAGTACAGAAGTAGCTAATAGAGTTCCAATGAGTAAATGCCAGTTGATTTTCCACATTTTGTATTTGTTCTAAAATACCATGGTATCTTATAGCATATTCCCTTTAGTCCAGATACACAAAATTGATTTTGTTGGAAAGTCATCAAAACATATTCTAAAAGCAAAGGTCACATACAGTAATCCTGTGCAAGGCAATATA